TAAATCTTAAAATCAGGAAGTGAATCCTCCAACTTTGTTTTTCTTTTTTCAATATTGTTTTGAGGTGATTACATGATTTTCATTCTTTGCCTGTTAACATAGCATATTATGGTAATATGGTAGTATGTATGATTAACATGGATTGGCTTTTGCATATTGAACTAGCCTTGCACCCCAGGAATAAACTCAACTTGATCATAGCGTATAAATCTTTTTTATAAAATGCTGAAACTTAAGGATTTTTGTGTCTATATTCATGGGGAATATTGGTCTGCAGGTTTTTTTTTTTCCTTACTTCTACAGTGTTTGTCTTTGCTGTCAAGGTGTTCCCTCTTCTCTTTTCTGTAGGATATTATGTAGAATTGGTGGTAATTCTTCTTTAAACAACTAATGTAGTTCTTTAGTGAGGTCATCTGGGCTTAAAGTTTTCATTTCAGATTTTTGAATTATGAATTCCATTTCTTTCATAATTATACAGCCATTCAGATTATTTCATATTGGGTAAATTTTGGCAGTTTGCACTTTTATAATGATTGGTCCATTTCATCTAAGTTTCCAAATTTATATGTGTATTCATAGTAGTCCCTTATTATCCTTTTCATGTCTGCAGTCTATAGTAATATCTCCTTTTTCATTCAGAATATTTGTACATTTTATTAATTTTATTAATATCAAAGAACATACATGTGCATGTGTCTTTGTGATAGAATGATTTATAATCCTTTGGGTGTATACCCAGTAATGGGATTGCTGGGTCAAATAATATTTCTTTTTCTAGATCCCTGAGGAATCGCCACACTGTCTTCCACAATGTTTGAACTAATTTACTCTCCCACCAATGGTGTAAAAGTATTCCTTTTTCTTCACATCCTCTCCAGCATCTGCTGTCTCCAGATTTTTTAATGATCGCCATTCTAACTGGCGTGAGTTGGTATCTCAATGTGGTTTTGATTTGTGTCTCTCTAATGACCAGTGATGATGAGCATTTTTTCATGTTTGTTGGCTGCATATTTGTCTTCTTTTGGAAAGTGTCTGTTCATATCCTTCTCCCACTTTTGAATGAGTTGGTTTGTTTTTTTTTTTTCCTGTAAATCTGCTTTAGTTCTTTGTAGATTCTGGATATTAGCCCTTTGTCTGATGGGTAGATTGTGAAAATTTTTTCCCATTCTGTTGGTTGCCAGTTTACTCTAATGATTGTTTCTTTTGCTGTGCAGAAGCTCTGGAGTTTAATTATTTCTAGCACAAAAATTTAGTTTTATACATTTTCATCCCAGCACAGCTTTACCTGTGTCCCACAAATCTTGATACATTTTATTTTTATTTACAGTTCAATGTAGTTTTTATTTCTTTTAAGATCTCTTTAACTCGTGAATTTTTTTTAAGTATGCTTTTAAATTTCTAAGTGTTTGTAGATTTTCATGTTGTCTTTCTGTTATTGTTTTCTGATTTTATTTCATCATAGAGAAAACGTCATGTATTATTTCAATTCTTTTAATATTTTGTGGATTGTTTTTATGATCCAGAATATGTCTATAATGGCATATATTCCTTGGGTGTTTGAAATAATGTGGAGCATTCTATACATTTCATTTAGGCCTTAGTGAAACCTGTTGTTGGATTCTTCCACATCTTGCTGATTCTCTGTATAGCTGTTCTATCAATTGTTCAGAGAGGGTGTTGAAGTCTCCAACTATAAATGTGGATTTTTCTATTTCTCCATTCAGTTCTAATAATGTTTGCTTCCTATATTTGCAGCTTTTCTGTTTAAAGCATACACATTTAGGAGTGGTATGTCTTATTGGTGGATTGACACTTTCAGCATTATGTAATGTCCCTATCTGTCCCCAGTATTTTTTGTTGTTGTTGTTTTTGCTCTGAAGTCTACTTTATCTGACATCACTAGAGCCACCTCTGTTACCTTTTAAAATTAATATTTGCATGGTGTATCTTTTTCCATCATTTTACTTTCAACCTTTCTAAATCATTATATCTGAGGTGAACATCGTGCAACAGCCTATCATTGGATCCTGTTTTCTTCTTTGCCAATCTCTGTCTTTTAATTGCTATTAAACCATTTTCATTTATTGTACTTATTGATAATGCTTAATTTTGCCAATTTACTTTTGTTTTCTCTTTGTTCTCTGATTTTTTATTTTTCTATTTTCTTTTTTCTGACTTCCTGTGGGCTATTCGAACAATGTTTTTAAAATTCCATTTGTTTCATTTATAGCATTTTTGAATCTATCTTTTTGTATAGCATTTTTAGGGGTTGCTCTAGATATTACATTATATATGCATAACTTATAATAATCTACTGGTGTCAAAATTTTTCCAGGTTCAATGAAACCCTACCTCTCTTTTCACCCCTTTATTCTCCTCTTTATAATGTAGTTGTGTTAAATATTCCTTCCACATACTTTACAGACACATCAGGCAATGTTATAATTGATGTTTTAAGCTTCAAACATAATTTGGAAAAGTTAAGAAGAGAAGGAAAGTCCATTATGTTTACCCATAATCTTTTCTCTTTCCATTGGTCTTTACTCCTTTCTAATGTTCAATATTCTTTCTTTTATCATTCCCTTTCTGCTTAGAGAATTTTGTTTAGATATTTTCTTAGTAGAGGTACATTGTTGACTAATTTTGTTAGTGTCTCTTAATCTGACAATGTCTTGATATTCCTTTCATATCTGAAGCATATTGTCACTGAATATAGAATTGTGGGTTGCCAGTTTTCTTTATTCAGCACTTGAAAAATATTATGTCACTTCCTTCTGGAATCCATGGTTTCTGACCAAAAATTCACTCTTATTAAAATTATTTTTCTTCTATAGGTATCATTTCTGTTTCACTGCATTCAAAGCTTTTCTCTTCATGTTTCAGAAGTTTTGTTATTACAGGTTTTGGAGTGGATTTCTTTACATTTGTACTGTTTGAGGTTCATTCAGCTTCTTAAATTTCCAGATTTATGTCTTTTGCCAAATTTGGGGAGTTTTCAGCCATTGTTTCTTGGAATATTTTAGCCTAATTCTCTTTCTCTTCTCCTTCTGGAATTCCAGTGACATGAAAGTTAGATTTTTTGTTTATAATCCTATGTGTTCCTGGGTCTATGTTTATTTTTTTTCTAGGATATTTTTTCTCTGTTGTTCAGATTGATCATTTCTGTTGTTCTATCTTAATTATTGCCTCTGTTCTTACCATTCTCCTCTTGATTGTATTCATTGAATTTGTTTGCATTATTGTATTTTTCAGTTCTAAAATTTCCATTTGCTTCTTCTTTATATTTTCTGTTTCTTTAGTGAGAATTCTGATTTCTTTGCTGAGACTTTCTGTATTTTTTTCATTTGTTTCCCAGCATGGTTGCATTTGTTGTTTGAAACATTTTAATGATTACTCCTTTAAAATCCTTGTCAGGCTGTTCTGACATCTGTGTCATCTTTCTGTTGGCATATGCCGATAGTATTTTCCATTCTGTTTGATATCTTGCTGGTTCTTGGTATGACAAGTGCTTTGCTACTGAACTTGGGCATTTTGGATATTACATTATAAGACTGGATCTTATTTAAAATCTGTTTTAGCTGACTTCCTCTGACACTGCTCTGGCAGGGAAAGCTGTACCATCTTATTCTTCATTGACATCAGGGAGGGTGGTGCTCTTCATTACTGCTGGGCAGGAGTAAGGATTCCAACTCCCTACTAGTCTTTTACTGATACTACTCTAGTGGGGATGGGGAAGGGCACCTCATTACTGCTATGTGGGGGTGGAGTCGAGGCTCCTCATTTGGCTTTTGCTGATGGAATATAATGGGACTGCATTTTCTTCTATGGTGTTTGCTAGAGTAGAGCAGTTATTGTCTAAAAGTTTTCTGTCTTGCTGGGCTACCCATTTCTTGGTCCATTGGCTAGAAAGAGCAGGCTTTTGTTGGGGTTTCTTTGTCAGTGTTCATAAGCATTCTGGGTTTCTGGCTTCTTCAGCTCCAAGTCTGGTATATATGAGGCAAGAAGAAAATCCAGAATACTCGCCACTGCATCATTGCTCAGGTCCCAAGATCCCTAACCAGTATACCTTTTTCTTTCCACCTTTTGGTATCTTATTATGTTTGTTTTATATGTAATGTCCAGAGGTTTTAGTGATACTCAGTGAGAGAATGGGGAAAAGTACTTCTTCATATTTCCAGAGGCAGAGGTTTAGACATTGAGATTTTAGAGCCTGATGCTATACTGCCAAGGAGGTTTATGGGAAGTAGAGCTGTCCTCATATATTAATGTTTTAGCAGAGCTTTTATTTCTTGTCTACATCATGAAAAACAAAAACAAATGAAACTTTACCTGGGTTTACATATATCTACTTATCCATCATGGAGGAGTAGCCATGATCACAACCTGCTCAGTCAGTTTCCTGTAAATTGGTGCACCAGAGTTTCCTGAGCCCCTTTCAACATTCATTGCTTCCATCCTATATCTATCAGGCTTTGAACTGTTAGTCAGCTCACTTGGCTGTATCCTAACAGTGCCACAGTTAGTGGTTGCTGCTTCTCTGAACCATAAGGCATACTCTAGTAGAGCTGAAGAAGCCCTAAGCCATCACCTAATTTAGCCACCATGTTTTCATGTAAGGAAACTGCATCTCAGAAAACAGAGGAGCCTTTCCCTGGATCCCACTGTGTATTACACAAAAGCAAATCCAGACCTAGGACACAGATTCCATGCCTGTAAGCCCAATGTTATTTTAGTTGCATCAAGCTGCTCCTCCATCCACCCCTCTGCCTTCCAGTGAACTTCGTTCTGCCTCTGGTCAAGGACTGCGATTTTATCCCAACCAACTGTCTCACAGAAATGCCCCACATCCTTGGGGGTGGGGGTACTCAATGAGGGTGGTGGGTGGGAAGAGGGGAAAAGGAATGTGGCTGACTCCACACAAATCTGTCTTCAGAGTGATTCACGGGGTCGGTGGTCTCATCTTCATATCTGAAAGACAGTGTACTTTTTGTCTCCCTAAGCCCTGTGTCTAGGTCGTTTGGGAAACGCCTTGGAGAGTCAAGAATAAAATTGCAGGTCAAACAATGGATGACTGGAAAAGTCGGCTTGTAATCAAGAGCATGCTTCCCCATTTCGCCATGGTGGGAAATCGTCAGGAGCCCAGAAAGCTCCAGGAATCGGTCAGACAATGGGCTATGGGGGGAGGGGGGTGTTGAATGCTTCTAATCTTAAACTTGAACGTAAGATGTGTTATTGAAATTTTCTATGTAAACTTGGTGGCAGGAATCCAACCCAAAATATAAGGAACTCAAATCTGATCCAGAAGAGTTATAGGCGTTGAGCTGATCCCACCCCTTGTAGGTTTCTAGAAGAATTAGAAATACAGTCTAAGGCTACATCTGGATTCCCAGTCTAGTGATCACTGCACTGCACCCATTCAATAAGAAAAATGAGGAAAGATGAGAGAGGAAAGAAGATTTTACTTTTTCTCCTAATAGAAGCCACTCAGAATGGCAAGCACTAGATACATTGCATGAGCTTCCTAGAATGACTGAGAACAAAAAGCTAGTGAGTAGGACACAGAAAGGGCTTCCCATTCAACTTTCTGGCCTTGTTGTCCTTTTAAAAACTCATCTGACACGCTTCTACTCTCTTCTCAGGGAACTCAGACATCATCCAAGTGTTCCGAAACTCAGGACTAGGGATTCCAGTGGTAGTTCTAGGAGCAGGATGATGATAGAAGGGACTATGAGAGCCATTGGCTAGTTTAATTTGACAACAAAAGCAGGCAACACCCCCAATCTACCAAGATTAGCTCTGTTAGCAGGAGTTGCAGCAAACACAATAGCTGTTATCTCAGGGTATTAGGGCCACAGAGGAGTGGCTTGCTTAATCTCTGAAATTAATAGAGCAGAGAGGAAATGGCTCTTATACAGCCGTGGGTCTGCTTCCTTCCTTTTCATAGAACTGGAAGCCCTGGGATCTGAGTTAATGCCACTTCACATAACTGGAGGGCCTGTCTTCTCCAAATCCCAGGACAATCCACTTTCAGCAACTCAGCTTTCTATTTATTTTAAAATTCTGATACAATTCCACAGATGCGGAAAGGGGTGATAGAAATCTTATCTCCTTTTTTCTTCATTACCAACCACCAACAATGTATTGAGAATGTGCTATCAAGTTAAGCATATAGACATTGACAAAACTTTGTTTACTGGAGTCCCCAGCTCTCACAGAGACTGCAGTCAGGTGGATGGCAGAGATGGAGACATTACTTAGTCAACAGCCGGTCCAAGTTGCCAGGCCTTAGTCCTCTTCTAGAAAGGAATATCTAACCTCCTTCCTAATTACCCTTTATATTTCTTGCTTCTTGTTTATGATCAACAATTGAGTCAGTAAAGAAAACCTTCGTAATGCTCCCAGAGTCCATGATCAGTTTTAGTTTGACTTTACATTTCTCTTTTGTTTCCCACTTGTTTCCATTCACTTGGGTAAAATTCTAGGAGAAAGGGTTGATGGACTATGGATACAGGGGTCCTCTTGCCTTTCTCCCTGACTCCATCAACACTCTTAAAAAGTGTGACCAGTACATAACTTCTTTGGTTTTGATCAGTGTACAGCTGAGTGCACATATTCCAGGGAGGGTTGTCCTTAGAATAGGTCCTTGGAGCAGCCATCTGTGCTTTTACTCTGGAGAAGCTGCCATTGGTTACGTCATTTCCGGGCTTGGCTTCTCTTCCCAGAAGGCCTTTAGAGCCCTTTGTAAGCTTTGCCAAAAATTCACATTCATTGCTTTAGGGTCACACTTTGAACTTGATCAAGATCAGCCCTCTGCCTCCTCTATGCCATACCTCGTTCTCTGAAAGAGTTCTCTGTGGAGTTCTGAGTGGCTTGACTATTTCTAAAACTTCAAGCTGTCCTAGAACACCAAGAATTCACCCCAGTTGAGGAGATAAAAGAATTTTAAAAATTTGCCTCAGGCCCCAAAAGCAACCCTCTCAGATGGTCTTCTTCACAGTCGAAACAGCATTGGACAACATTGAAAGAACCCACTTCTTTGACTGGATGTGACAGGTGCCGCTGTAGGGGATCCCTGTAGCCTCAGGAAGATACCCAGTGCTAACATGAAACTCTGCTGCACGTGCTGAGGATCTCAGAATCTGGGTCTTTATGGACTAAGGTTGACCAAATAAAAGCAGAATGGGCTGTGAGTTCACCAGGAAACCTGCTGTCTAAACAAGTTATTGCTAGGCCTGGAAAGTGAGTAGTGGAAGGAGGTCCTTTGCAAAAGCTGGGCTTGCATTTACAGAGTGTAGCCTTAGCTGGATCTCAGATGTTTCCCTTGTTTGCTCTCCTTCTGACACTGCATAACACCCAGGGATGATACCCTGAACCCTAGTCCCAGGAAACCATGTGCGACTGGAAGCATGTTTCTTGCACTACTCTCACTCATCCTGAAAGCATTGCTAACAGAGATTTGCTTCATGCATTAAGCTTAACTGGTTCTCTTCTTCTTTCCCAGAAAAGAAACAAACAAAAAACATGTTTCAAATCAATCTTGAAATAAAATAATATCAGTCCCAGAGGAGAGTTCTCCTTAAGCAGTCCTTGAATTTACATGGAAACAATTGTGAGCTCCCTGGAAGGAAAACGTGCATCTCATGTGACACTTGTTCTTGGCCTAAGACTAGGGCTCAAAACACCTGGGTTCTAGTCTTGTAGTTAATCCTCACTAGCTATGGGGCTTTGTCCATCCTTTGCCCTCTCTGAGAACAAAGTTCAAATGAAACAAGAGTAAGAGTAACCACCTTCAATTGAGCATTTGTGGGACAGTATCTCCTATAATCCTCATGATAACCTTGGGAAGAAGAAGCTCAGAGAGATTAAGCAATTTTGCAAAAGTCAGATAAAAGAAGTGACAAACTTAGAGGCCAGTGTCATTACCACTATACTCTAATGTCCATTGAAAACCACTAAATGCTGAACACATATCAGGCAGGGGCCATCATCATAAGAAATCTTAGTAATGCAAGTACCTTTTCAGCATCTGTTCATTCATTTAATAGTGTAACTGCTTAATGACTCTGACAATCTGGGAACAGAAAAGTTTGACCTTTTGAACATTTGGGCGACTACCCAAGGTTAATAAGGCATGCAGTCTCGACGCTTTCCATAGATTGGTAGGTCGAAGGATTACTAATGTGAGAATCTAGAAGGCATTAGCACTCCAATTTGCAAGTGTTCCAGAGCCTGCATGTAGTTGAGACTCAGTGTGCATGGCACATGCCATCTCTGTCTCAGTCTACACCCCACTGTAAGTGACAGCACCTATTCCCTTCATAAGGCAGCTCCTAGACAAAATGCCCTTCATATTAAGGGCATGAAATGTACGGTTGGAGGAGGAAGGGGACACAGTGCTCTTTGCACATCTTCTGCCATTTAATGTTAAGAAGTGACTCCCTGTAGAGATTACAATGGGATGCCATGACCAATATTTCTTCTGAGCTTCCCAACCAGTCAGTGGCTGGGCAGGGTGGGGGGATTATTATTATTCTCCTTCTTTGTGGATAAATAGAATAAAGCCTGAGAAATTCAGTGACTTTCAGAAGACTATCCAGAAGGTGGAGTCCTACATCAAGGGTCCTCATTTGGGTGGCCCCAAGTGCAGTGTGCTTTCCACCTATGGTACAACAAAAAAAAACAACCCCTCAGCCCACATCTTTCTCACCTCTAAATGCAAGTAGGACTGAAGAAGGGGGAGAGAGGAGCCCTCAGTGTAACAGGGTATGTGGACATTTAGATGGCTACAAAAATATTGACCCCATTCCATCAGTCCCTTTTCTGTAGACTGGTGACCTTAGACATACCCAGTAGGAGGAGCTCCAGTCACCTCCTCCCTTGGTATGTGTGTGATGAGGTTAAAGATTTCTGCCCATCAGCTTGGGAGGCTGCAAAAGAAAAGTGCTGGACTCAGGAAGGAGACCTAGGACTTGATCCAGGGTTGGAACAAGCTGTTTGTGAGATTTTGAGCAGGTTTCTTTCTTCTTGAGGTCAGAGGGTGTGGGTGTGAGCTCTAAGGGCCTATTTCTGACCTCCTGCCACATTTCTGTGTGGCCAGCCCTGTGCTAGACCTCGAGCTCCAGGAGCTCATAGTCGAGGAGCAAATTATTTCCAGGTTTCCTCCACTGGGAACAAATCTATCTCACTCTGTAGTTCTTGGTGAAACCTGGAGAGAAGTGGTTGAGCGTCTCTCTTGTGCAAGGTACTTTGCACACATTAACTCATTTGCTCCTGTGTCACAGAGATTGATATTTCCACTTCCCCAGGGAGGAGGCTGATGCTCAGAAAGGATGGAGACTTTCCCAGTGTCACACAGGCAGGTGGTTGTAAATTCAGATCTCAAACTCAGGTGCCCTGCCTCCAAAGCTTTTCCTACCCTGATGCTTTCCATTCCCAGATTAGGAGCTCAGGTAGCTCTGGGGCTTTCTGCAGGCCAGGCACTCTTCTCAGACAACCATAAACAGGTAAAGAGTAGAAGCACATTTACTTCATTCCAGTGGCTCCCTTGAACCTTCCAATCAGTGTTGCCCACTGCCAAGCCTGGCAGAAAGTCAGGCTGATTAAAAACCCCATGCAGGGGCAGCCAGCTGGGAACAGAGTGAGTTGTCAAAAGAGCTCCCTTAGAAGTCTCAAGAGAAAACCCAAGTTTAGAGCTTTGAGTCTTTGCCAGCATCCCCTGCTTCATTCAGGCTGGAGGTACAACACAGGTGCAAGTCTGGCCCCAAGAGAGGGGAGCTCATGTGTATGGGCCCCTTCCAAGCCCCAGGTGACCCCAGGGGACAGTTCATCTGGAGGCACCTGTCCCTGCCACTTCCTGAGAACTTTCATGAGCCTCTGGGCCTCAGTCTCCACATCAGTAAAGTGGTGTTAATAACTCTGCTCTCTGCCTACATCAGGGTTTCAGGGATGGTGAGGAACAAGTTATGGGTGTGCACATGTTCCCAACAACGCAGAGCATGGTTCTAAACCACACACTGCTGTGAACACTTTTTTTTAATGATCAGAGGTTGGCATTGGCTCAGAGGTTTTTGCCATCAGAAGAGTGATGGGAAATGTGTGTCCTGACCCCTGAGGATCCCACAGTCTCATCAGCAGCCCCACTGCACTGAGGAGACCTGGC